CTGCCAGACATGCTGCTCCTGCGGGAGCACCGCGGCGGCGCCGCCGGCGGCGGCGCGAGCTGCAGCAGCCGCAGCAGCGGCGGCAGCGGCGGCTCGACAGCGGCGAGCCTCGGGTACACAGGGGGCACGGGCAGCGCGGCGGGCTCTGTCTGGGGGGACGCGCCAGACGCGCTGACGCGGTACAAGACGGCGGCGGCGCTTTGGGAGCTCGATTTTGATGAGATCGAGATCGTGCGGAAGATCGGGGAGGGCAGCTTCGGGGAGGTGCTGCTGGGCAACTTCCGCGGCACCAAGGTGGGTGCAGAGCGGCGCCTGGGCGTGGGTGCGCTAGGGTGTCGTGTCGCTTCCGCGGGCTGTTGCCCTGACAGCCTCAAAGGACCGCGGGCCAGGGAGCGGCAGCCTGGGCAGGTGCGGCTTCTAGTGCCGCACTCGGTTTCTTTGGAAGGGAAGGGGCGCGGCGGCGCCGCTGCTCGGCCGCTTGTCTTGCGGGTGCACGCGTCTCGCACGCTGTTTCAGTGACGCCTGGGTGCCCGCACGCATGCCGGTGCCTCCGCCTTGCGTGCCGCGCGTGCGCGAGCAGGCGCACGCACAGATGCACAAGCGCACAACGCAGCACACATCACACATCACACATGCACATACACACACACACACACACACACACACACTCAACACAACACATGAGTCACAATCCTGGCCCGCCTCTTCTTTCCCCCCTCAAAACAGGTCGCAGTAAAGCGCCTCCATGCGCTTGACAGCGACCCCGGCAGCGACCGCGGCAGCGCCGGCCCCGCCGCCCCTGCCGCCGGCAGCGCCGGCCCCGGCCCCGGCGCGGCCGCCGCGGGCGCGGGCGCGAGCCTCGCGGCGTTCAAGCAGTTTTTCGAGCGGGAAATTGCGATCCTCGCTTCCATCCGCCACCCCAACGTGGTCAACTTCATCGGCGCGTGCCACCGCGCGCCGACGCGGTGCCTCGTGACCGAGTACTGCGCGCGCGGCTCCCTCGACAAGCTGCTCCACCGCAGCGGCCTCGCGCTCGACCTGCCAAAGCGCATCGAGTTCGCGCTCGACATCGCGCGCGGCATGGCCTGCCTGCACGCGCAGCAGCCGATCATCATCCACAGGGACCTGAAAACGGCGAACCTGTTGGTGTCGGCGCGGTTCGAGGTGAAGGTGGCGGACTTCGGTCTGTCGCGCATCAAGGACGCGACCCACGTGAGCGCTGGAAGACGGGCAGGCGGGCGGGCGGGCGGCCGCGGCCCCGGGGTGTTTGGGGGCGCGGCTGAGGGTCTAGCATCGGAGTCGCGTGTGCGCCCCGCCACCAAAACCGGGCCTGGGGCATGATCAGACACGCCCACCTGCGCTGGCAAAACCAGCACCCCCGCCTCTGCTCTCGCAATCTCCTGGACATCCCAAGCGACCTGCAACAACCCCTCCCGCCTTCATGCCTCCCCGCCTCCCTACCGCCCCGCCGCCTTTCGGCCCCGCCCCTCCGCGCCGCTTCGCCCCGCAGCTCCAGAACTCGCGCGCCGGCCTGGAGGGCACCATTGAGTACTGCGCCCCGGAGGTGTTGCGGGGGGAGCCATTCACAGAGAAGGCCGACGGTGCGGCACGCGCGTGCACGTGCGCGCGCGCGCGTGTGTGTGTGTGTGTGTGTGTGTGTGTGTGTGTGTGTGTG